TGGTCAGGTGGGTGACACCAAAGTGAATTTAAACTTGGCACAAGAGAAACGTTTCAGTATGATAATGACCCAGAACACGCTGCCAGCATCAGACAAGAGCTTCTAATGAAGAAAAAGGTGAAAATGATGATCTGGACACATACAACACATATAACCTTTTTTGTTTTCTCAGCGTCTGACGTTAAATCAGACTGTTGTGAGAAGCTTGTGGAAGGAAACCCAGAACGTTTGACCCAAGTCATAGAGTTTAAAGGCAACGCTAGCAGATACTGAGGAGATGGATGGAAACTTCTGACTCTGAAGAAAGTAATAAAATAAATTCTCTAAAAAGTTCTCTCTCTCATTATTCTGGCGTTTAGCAAATAGAAATAATGTTGGTGATCCTGACTGACCTGAAACAGGAAACATTTTGTCTGATTTAATGTCAGATAGTGAGAAATAAAAAGGTTATGTGTCTTTTTATATGATGTAAAGTTGAAACCAGAAGTTAGACTGAATAAAAAGACAGAACTTTTTTTTTTCTTTTAGTTATTTTTCAAATTTACACAAGTTCTGCTACCCTGCTGTTAAACTTAAATGTAATGTGAATAATGCAATTACTGTAGGGTGATACGATTTTGAATATTGTACTTATTTCTCTTGTATACTGTAAGTGTTTGAAATAGTTTCCAGTACTTACATTTCCCAGTCTTATGTCACTGGACTCTGAGGGGGTGTGGTCTGTCTGGGTGTCCACACCTGAGGACAGGTACGCCTCTGGAGCTGCTTCTGGACACGACACTGACGCCTCTGATGCTGCCACACACAGACATAGAGACTATGATCATGAGTGTTGAGTGGTTAGACGGTGAACCTACCAACAACCTAAACAAAACTAAATAAAAACACAGTGAACCTGGGCGAGTAAGTGAAAGAATAGTACAGAAATGTGGTCGTATTGTGGAACTAGGGGGAAACTCCTGTGATTATGGTGAATGTCTTGTGAATACTGAGTTGAATCCCATCAGTCAGGCCTCTGATAATAAAGCACCGCTCCTGTCTCCTGGGAACATGAATGATAAACGCTATGCTGATATACAATCTGACTATTACTTTAAAAAAACTGTGTTAAATCCTGAATCCTGTCAGCTTTGGTTCAAAATGCAACATCAACTTAAAATCAGTCAAATATCAAAGAACCTTCGCCAACAATAGTCAGTGAAGTAAAGAAAGAGACAGAGGCAGCCAATTCAAGGCAGACTTTCCACAGCCAGCAGAGAGACTCAGCACTGAGCAGCTTATCAGAGCATCAGCAGCAGAAAGTGCTGAGTGCAGCGATGAGGACTTCAGATCTGAGAGAACATTAAAGAGAAGATGCTTCCTTGTCACCAGCTCTGAGAGCAAGGTGAACCCTCCGCTTTCTGTGTGTGTTCTTCCAGTTTTGTTCTGACAAGGACCACGTGTCCTAACAGAGAGACGAGGAGAATCATCCACGGCGAGGACATTTTGTCGGTCATCACTTTCTGTATTGCAGACTGTTGTAGGGAACAGTGTCTCCTCAGTGCTGCACTGTGACGCTGGGTTTCAGCACAGCAGGGCCCTGAGCTACATGTCAAAATGCTAACATGATGCTCAGCTGGTGTCATTTTTTACCATGTTCACACTGCCATTAGTGTTGCAGGTATGTGGCAATAAACCAAAGTGTTGGACCAAATAAAGGCTCCATGTCAAACCCTTTTTAATGTAAATGGACTGCACTTATATAGAGCTTTTCTACCTTAGCAGCATTAACAATGTGTTTCTCATTCACACATTCACACACCAGTGGTGACAGAGCTGCCATGCAAGCTGCTGCCTGCCATTGGGAGCAACTTCGGGTTCAGTGTCTTGCCCGAGGACACTTTGACTGTGGAGGGGGCGGAGATCGAACCGCCAACCTTACGATCAGAGGACAACCGCTCTACCACCTGAGCCACAGCTGCCCTAATGTAGCGTACTGAGGAGCAGAACATCCCAAAGCAACACACAGAATCTAGAGACCCTTTCTGTAAATTTAGTAGGAGACCATTTCAGAAGAGAGCTAGTCCAGAATGTTCACCCATATGGGATGTTTACTGCAGAATGACCGCTCACAGGCCTCTTGGAGACACCAGGACGTCTCCTACCTCCACCAGGACCTGATGATAGTCAGAAAGGGTCAACTGTAAGGAAAACCTCTGGAGAAGATCTTCACTGTGACCACCTCCCAACACCCAGAACTTTCTTCACAACAATTCACTGAACAGTTTTAAATGCCCAAATTAAAGAAATCCAGCATCACTGGAGTGATGATCCCAACATCTGGACTCAGGCTGTGACACCAGGTCATCAGGACCAGTGCTGAAGAAGAAGAAGACCTCACATCTGAGGTGTTTGTGGAGAAGCACACACTGATCACTTTTATTCTGTTTGCAGTTGCACTAAACACTTCCTGTTTGATATCATTTTAATCACATGATTCGTGGAATTTTATCTGCAATGATCAGCCCCCCACCACCCTAGTGAAGATTAAGGTGTAGAGATAATGGATGGATGTGCTCATATGTACAGTTTTACCTGGTGGTTCCTGCTGTAGTGTCTCAGAGAGCTCCTCACTCTGTTGCTGTGGTTTGGTTTCTGCAGAACTCTTCTGGCTGTTGGATGCTGTGTTCTGACTGCACGTCTCCTATCAGCGCACAACACACTCATATAAGTTTCATGGTATAGTTGCTGCACATTGTCAGACTTTAATTTTTAAATGCAGAAGCACAGGAATCATCTTACATAAACGTATTGATTTAGTTTTTTACAAGCTGTATCACTTTTGCCTGTCAGTCTAATAAATTCCAGCTCTGCAGCTTAAGGTTGAGCAGAAACACAGCAGCAGCACATATAGTGTAAAAGAAACCGTAAATGGAACTGTTTGTGATAGCGGCAATGAAATGCCCCCCTCGGGGTATGAGAGGCAGCACAGCAGCTCTAGAGGTCCAGATCGATGTCTGACCTGGCATGTGTTGGCAGAGACCTGGGAGGGCATCTGGACATCTCTAGTTTCTGGACTGAGACATGTGGACGTGTCCAGGATGAAGAGGGCGGCCAGCGCACCCTTGTTGGTCAAGGTGATAGTCCGTGAAATAGTCTGGCCCACGACATGCGAACCGAAGTCAACGAACTGGCTGTCAACCTTCGGCTAGAGAAAGGATATCATCACGTGCTGTAATTAGCATCAGCGGTGAGGAGCCGCCAGCTTGAGTACATAGTTTTACATACATTAATACATACATGAATTGATTAAATAGACCACTGAGCACACTAAGACTATTATATAAGGACAGACAGCCAGTCAGCGCTGTTCCTCTGAGGTGGGATGAAAAGGGTTTAGTGTGATAAATTACATTTCTTATGCAGGAATCATTATTTTTTTAATCATTACCACATTATTAGGCCTAAAGCACACAAAAGCAGAATCCCACTGGTAGAAACGTGTAACGTCCTACAATCTCCTGTAGGTTGGTGACACCACTTACGTCACATTTCTTTGTGGTGCATCTGACGGGCACAGAGAAGGGACCGACCGCTGATGCAAATTGGATCTGTCCTTCTAAGTCCTGGTTGAGCTGCGGGGATCAGATAATGGAACAGTGTGTTGCTGTGAATCCAAATAAACCAGCGATCAAACCGCCAGCATGTGATTCAAAAACAAAGAACGGGACACGTGCAGCGACATCTTTTGAAGGAATCACTCGATATCTTAGGAAATGCATCGATCTGATTGGAGAAGATTGTAAACAAGACGCTTGACCTTAAATGTGAGGCTACAGCTAGCAGCTGAACAGCTAGCTTGATCTGTCCAAAGGTAATACAAGCAGCCTACAGTACCTGTACCTCCAAAGCTCATTTTTAACATAATATGATTTGTTTAATCCCTGTGAAAAAACACTAGGGATTTCAGGGAGGTACAAGCCGAGAAACAGTGAAGTAAGAGCTTAACAGATGCCAACCTGACCTGGAGCACCGGTTACTTTTTACTGTATTGTGATTTTATTTGTACTGTCTTTCTTTTAAGTTTATTTCTTACTCCAATGATTCGCCCCTCTGGGTAATACATATATCTTTAATGGTTGATGTGTAAAAGGAGTGGGGATATTACTAACCACTGGCTGGAAAACAACCTGCATGTCACAGGACATCCCGGTAGACAAGGAACTGGGAGGCTGGAAGCTGAAACACAAACAGGTCAGTCATGAATAAACAGACCTTTTTGTACAGTTTACAGTGTGAGTGGCATTACCACACAGGCTCATGCTGCATAATATCTCATTAGAGACACAGTGCACAACACGTGTGGCAGCAAAAACAGAAACAGGACACAAAAGATATGAAACCTTTTGTTTTTAAAGCAACACAGAAAGCAAAAGCCTCCGTAGCAGGAAACGTGACGCGTCCAGCGAAGGATCAGCCAATTCGAACGAGACGCTGAACTCTGATGAGCAGAAGACACAGTGAAGGTCAGAAGTCAAGCTGATGAAAACAAAGAGGAGAAAAAGCTGCTGTTTTATAGAGAAGTACAACAGAAGGGTTGGACTTTGTTTCACCGTTAATCATATCACGTTATGAACCGTACAGGGAGGCAAAAGTTTATTTCCAGACAAGAGAAGAAGCCCGAGGACTGTGTGAGTTATTTCAAAGCAGCATGTGTATCTCACAGCACATGTTTACAGCGATCCTAACGCTGCCCCAAGGAGCAGGATGACTTGCCGCCCTTCCAGAGATACAAGAAGAGGGCAGATCAATATAAACATGGCAGGCAGGCGGCCAAGGAATCAGCAGCGCTCAATAAATATAGAAAAAGTTAGAAACGACGAGCGTTAGGAAGCGCATTTACATTTACAGAAAATAATGTTCTGCCTTGTTTTTAGGTTTTAGGAATAGCATTATTCTGTTTCCAAAGATAGAGTCGGAGCACAATCACACAGCCGGCATTGTTTGTAAATGAGACACACTTTGTGCCAAGTTGAGGTTTTTTCCCTGTAAAAGACAAAAGCTGAGTGTCACAGTAGTTTTTCTTGTTTTGTCAGTTTTCTGAACTCTGTAGAGAAGGAGAATGAATATTTCAGTTTTCCTCTCTGGTGATATGCACTATGTATGACACGCAGAGCAAATATTTGGCAGGGAGACAAGTTGTTCTTGATTTTTTAGTGGTTTTTGTTATCATGTGTGATACCAGAACACCAGAGCTCAATAACTGCACACGCTCTGATATTACTGACAGTGAAACTACAATACGCTGGAAGCACCGTCCTGCTCTGGGCGGTTGGGTTCGGTTCAACACAGAAGCTCCTGGTGCAGGTGCAGCTGGATGAAGCTGCCGTCCGGCTCACCGCTGTTATCTGGAAATGCATGAAAGGAACCTTCCTGGTTGGGCAGATCTGGTGGTAATCCTCAATGTCAAACTGCACTTTCATCCAAATTCGCCTTTTTGTTTTTTTTTTTTGGGAGGGAAATCTCCGTCTCCATTGTTACCATTCTCCTTTCCTCGCTCGAAGCAGGTTGTATGAAAAGACGTGGAGGAAAATAGAACAGTGCACTTGGGATTAAATGCTGAGTGAGGCAGTGTTTGAAAAAGCCTGCCACAGCCAGATATAAACTGCTGCAAATGAGGCCATACTGTACGGTATACATCCACCGGAGAGCGACGAAGGGATGAAGCTCAAGCTGTGGTCGTACAGGTTTGTTCTTGTGACGGTACAGCGGTGCTAATTTATGCATTCTTGGCTTCACCTGCAGTTCATCAATAAGCACTTTGAGTTTATAGTTCAGTCCAGCAAAACACCGTCACACTCCTGGAGGAATCCCATCTCAGCGTGACGTGTGTTAATGACCTAAACAATCCTCCTGATACTTTACTTAATCTTGTTTTTCTTTGCATCTGGTGCCAATAATATAATATTTATGTTTGTAATTTAAGAAAATATATGAAAGCCACAACTGAGGTCTTTCCAGGGGAAATTTTTGCCTAATTAATTTCAAAGTTTATGGTATTCAGTCTCTGTAAAGCAAATTGAAACTGCTAGACGATAAGTCAAGGAGGCTCATCATAGAGTAGAAATTCAACTGAGTGCTCATATCAAATATTATTTATAGACAGAAACAGACAGAGGATTAATAAAACAACTAACCCAGCTAAGTTGCTAAAATAAACCCTGACAGATATAAAAAGAGCCTCGTCGACTTGCTGGTTTCAAGAGGACACGTCTATAAAACGGACGTACATGCGGCTGTCAGCGTTTCATCTGTTCCACGCTCTCAAAGTCTTTGGGACAAATTAAAAGTTGGGTTGTTCCCAGATGAAATGCTACGTCTGACCTCAGTTAGAGCGGCCATGAAAAGGCATGCAGACAAAATTAAACATGAAAGCACGCAGTATTAAATATAGCGAGCAAAGAAAGATGTGCAGCTCTAGTGACAGTCGCTGTTCTGTCATCATTTGCTCTCAAGATTCGATCTGTGCGAATCTGTCTGTGGACGCCTACAGCTGATAAAAGTTCAGGGGAAAACATGCGAGTTATCCTTTCGATGGTCAGAAATCTATTTAAAAAGTTCATTTAAAATGCACTGGTAAAATGTGAAGACTTGTCTTCTCCGTCCCTCAGGCCTTGGAGACGGTGGCGCACCGTGAAGGCAGCGTTCAAAACAGGAACATGCAGCGTTTTGTTAGCGTTGGTACTGAAGAGTAAGGATCACACCATTTACCATCTAAGCTGATTAATGGAGACATTCGTAGTTTGTTAAGTCGTTCACTGTGTTACGGTTGAATCAAATCAGCTGATGAGAGTCGACTTAGGTTAGAAGTGTTTAGTAGTGGGTGTTGAACAACCCAAGGTGCAACACGAGACACGTTTATGTTTTGTTGTCCCAGTTAGCTCCATGTATGTAAATGGGAAGGAGGCATTACCTTGGGAGCTAATGCAGGTTGTATTCCACCTCCAGTGCTTTATCACAGAACGCCATGAAATGTTGTACAGTGTCTCAACAACAGTCAGCCAAGATATTGTTCACGTGGATCATCTGTACTGACCTCACTCCCTGGTTCCTTGATTCTTCTAGTGTCATCCTCAGATCAACATTTCAAAACTTAGGACTATCCATCCATCATCTCTACACCTTAATCCTCACGAGGGTCATGAGGGCCTGGAATCTATCCCAGCTGACTCAGGGTGAAGGCAGCAAGAACCCAAGGGTCTAAACATGCTTGTTAATTATGAGCAGATTGTTGTTGTTACTGTACTAGTGCCAGATTCCATGTACACTGGGCTTCTGTGGGTTTTTCTTGGTTTGCTTCAGATCACGTCCAACACTTTGGGCCTGGAGGTCTCCATCGCTGTGTAACAATGAAAACATCTCAGCAGCAGCAGAACTTAAACGAGCGTACAAAGTGTAACAGAACTTCAGAACGGTTTTGTCAATAGCAAACTTCAAAGAAAAGACCAAATTAAACAAGCTGTAGGTGTGATCACACCCTCACAATCTGCAGAGTACCACCATTCCTACTACGCTCACTGGCTTCATCTCGCAGCTGAGCTCAGGAGCATACAGACCTCAGAGGGGTGTCTTCCTCTCAGCCAATCATGTACAATACACGCTAGGAAGTGACACTAATTGCAAACACACAGCTTCTATACAACGGCTTTTCACCGAGTCTGGCGAGGCCGGGCTGTTGCGGTTTTCATCCCAGTAGTGAAAAGATACAGCAGAGCCCATTCTGGCACAAATGCACCTACACTGGGCAGGGGGGGGAGCCATTTTTAGAAATTCAGGGGGCGTACAGGGAACCATGGGCTGGTGTGAAAAAGCCCAGTGTGTTCCTGGTTCACATTCCTCTTTCTCCTGCTGTGCTAATGTTTTGAGCTGGGCGAGCCACGAAGACTCTGTCGCTGTCACGACTGATCTCAATATTGTACCTCTTAATGTGCGAATAACCAGCATGCGGCGCACAACAGACACTGAGCAGGAGAAGCACGGTGTTTAACAGGTGAAGCAGTTCTGCAGCACGTATAAGCAGAATTAGGCTCGTAAATCACCAATCTGTAGCACTCCCACTCTGTTTGCATATGACCCCGATGCAGCTCGTGGTTGTTACGCTGATAGTGGTTGAGTGTGTAACAACCACCAACCAAGACAGTGTGGCAGTAATAAAGTTTATAATATTTATGGGGTAAACAATATATTAAACTGATTTTATCCTATGTAAGTATTACAAGAGGGGAAGTAAGACAGTGTTGTTGAAGACAGTATGGGGAGAAATCAAGCTAATTGTGAGACAGCAGCACTTCCTGAACAACCGCGGTCATAAACAGGTAATGGTGCCAGAAACACACCTTCATCTCCAGTCAGCTGCTTTACATACATGATAGAAAAGCTCCTCTGTGTATGCTAACGTTAACCACACGGCTTTCACGCTACTTAACACAGTCCTGGATCTACCTGACGCTACACACTTTAGATACTCGGTGTTCATGAATTTGGCCACGTTCACCAGATAGCAGGTATTCCTCTATGGCTGAGTCTCTAAGGTAGAGCCACGGAAGAGATTTCAGGAAGGTGCAAAGTCAATAAACAAACCAAATTAGAATTTATGAATAAAGTTTGGTTTGCCTTCCTAATCTGTACTCCTATGACTTGCCTGACATCATTTTTCTCGCCACCTTACAAGTCACAGAGATGACCGCCGACCATCTGGTGGGGTTTCAGATTGTCAACACTTGTCCTGCAACAAATCTAATGAGCTGCCAAGTGATGTCCAGGTTTTGGGTAATTGCCATCCAACAGCATGACATGTAGTATCATGATGGTGGATCAGGGTGAGCCGCCATCAGGCACCGGCTGCATCAGAACATGTCCGGCTGCAACAGCAACGCTCCTGAACGGACTGAACTGAGGAAAGATGTGTGTGGGACACAGATTGTCATTTTAAGTGGTCATTCATAAGATAAAAATGGTGCTTCTTCCCTTCTGAAGTTTCTTAGTTCATGCTGTACACAACTAATCTAATGAATTATGAGTGAAGTGACAAGTAAAACTAATAACCATTTTATTACTGCTTTCTATAGAAAACTGTCAGCATGCAGCACCTCGTTTTATTTTCTGTATTTAGATTCTTTTTCTATAATATATGTACCTCTGTACAATCGTGGAAAAACGAGCGACGGCCCGTCGTGACTAGTTAATCGACCCTTAACAATCCTAAACCTGCTATCCGACAGGTTTTTAGGAAAAACCAACAGAACCCATAAAAACAGCCTTAACATAGCGACAGCCTTGGATTGTGACTCCGACATGACATTTAATGTCACCAATCAGGATGACGGCGTATTATCTGACTGAACAATCCCACAGATTGGCTACGTTCACACTGCAGGACTTGATGCTCAATGAGGATTTCTTTGTGACTTCCTTCACGTTTCCACTTCAATGCGACTTGTATGTGATCTGCTGTGTGAACTTCATACGAGCCAAAAGTGTCCCGCATGCGCAGAAGAGGACACGACGACGTCACACGCAGCGAGCGTGCTCAGTGTTTATGGAAGTAAACATGGATGGTAACGGTGGAGCGTATCTGCCACTCCCCCGCCGCCACCGATGGAGGAAACAGAAGTGTGAGCGCTAACTAAACTAGCATCAGCAGCCAAGTACTGCCTGTGTGTTCTGGACACTTCCACCCCGTCAGAGCGCTGCCCCGGGGTGGAAGTGTCCCCCGACCGCACCCAATATTCAGATATTCATCATTAATTGGGCCTGAATATCCATAGAGCAGAAAGTTCTACTGGGACCAGCCCTACTAGTTATTATAACAACTATGAACAATAATGAACAACTAATGAGCCTTCCAGCATCAAGCCCTCCTCGTATCTGGACCTCCGTCTGGACAATCCGACAGCCTTGATATCCGACATAGAAGAAGGTTTTACATTTAGTGTCGGGTTATCCAGTCACGACTGTATGTGGTGAAAGTGTGTATCATATTTTAATATTTTAACACTACCCAAGGGGATTCGGTGCCTAAACTTAACTAAAGTCCAAAACAAAGACTTCGGTCTAAAACTAAAGCTCCCCACAGGACATAAACCTGAGTCTCCATCAGTGGAAGTCCTGCATCAGAGTTATATCATGACAACCCATCCATCCTGTTGGTGGCTCTCTGACTGGGGAACTGTTTTCCAACATCATGCTGTTACATTACACAGAGAAAACATGATACTTCTTCCAACAACAACAACAGTAACAGAGCGATACAACAGAAGTGAGTGAGTGGGTATTCCATGCACTATATATAGCATGTGTACATTCGCTCGCCTGGCATGAAAGTGCGTGTTTGCTACATGTGAGCTACCAACAGAGGAGTAGAAGGTGATATGTTCAGACAACTGGTCCCGCACCGAGGCTCGAGAACAACATCGGTAGTTTCCAGCTGACCCCGCCGCGGCCTGCGAGACTCTTTACTCAGTCGGGCGGAAAGAAGAGAGACGAAGAAACCGCATCAAGTCATGGGAGAGCTGACGGGAAAGCGATACGCAGCGAGTGACCTGGAGAACAACGCTCGTGTGCTCGGCCCGTGGGCTGCTGGCAGCCTGAGAGAGAGGAGATAGCAGAGACAGTGACTGACTCACTTAGCCGAGCCTCATAAGAGGAGCTGTGAGCGTGGTGATCCAAGCTGGCGTCCATATGTGGGAGGACAGGCTCTGCTTTCACGTCCACGCCGTCGTCTTTCATAACGACGACAAGTGTTTCTCGCTGGTGATGCGTGTGCAGATGTTTCTGTGTGATAAGTGTAGACGTTCAACACATAGAGTTCAGAGGAGCTTCAGCGCTTGTTATTTGTGCGAACACCTCGAGCTCTCGTGTTGTCACAGCTTCAGACGTACGTCCTTGAAACCAGCTTTAATGACTACATCACAACAACTATACTACTGTAAGCCAAGAGAGAAACCATGAAGCAACACTACTGAGCTGTTGGATTTGGGTTTCTCTTTCATCTCTTTATTGTTTCCATGTTTTTGTGTTGTTTGTGATGCTGTGTTGTACATGTGTTGTGTTCGTTAAACTCTTGTTTTGTTGCACAGTATTTGCACTCCAGTCCACACAGGACTTGTCTACTAGGACATATTGCTCTTATTGTACATTTTGCATTTTGTATTTATTATTTATCAGTATTCATGGTGGTGGTAACTTTACTCTTTATACTGTAACAACCGAATTTCCATTTTGGGATTTATAACATATTTCTATTCTAATCTAAAGTTTTCTCAGTTCTCAACTTTTATTTACATTTCCAGGGTTTTTTTGCTCATTTTTTGATAGAGATATTTTTATGGAGAGAAAAATATTAAAATATATTCAAAGTTTACATTTATTTTTTTAATAAAATGGCACAAGAGCAAAGCAATCTGAATGTTTGGATTTGTTATTTTTACTTTTGCGAAAAGCATCATTTTTATTTATGTTTTCAGGGTTTTTTGCAGCATGTTCATAGATGTAACTTTGACAAGAGATGTTTTTTATGGAGAGCAAAGTATTTAAAGTTATACACATTATTAGTTAATTTATCCTGGAACAATATTCCTGTCTGTTTTTATTCATATTTATGTTCAAAAAACATTTAGCTTTAGTGTGTTCAATAAATGCTGATCCTGTTCGGCCCGTGACCCAAAGTGTGCTTTGAGTTTTGGTCCCCATCACGTCTGGGTTAGAGGCTCATTTCAACAATTTAGGCAATGCACCGTCTGTGTCTTTACACCCAGGATACAAAAAGTCCAGATGAGTGTAACCTGTGCAGGGCTTGTAATGGGTTATGGTTCTGCTATGCGTCACCTCGCTTTGCACAAAGACTGGAGGAGGAAGTTATACTATGGTTATATATTCTAAACTATTATAATGAACAAAAACAACATAAAACCTTCCCTAAAACTGAAGCTACGCTTACTAGATATTCTAGGGCAAATAGTTAGTCCTACTAAACTGTTTTTATTAGTTGTGACGAACTTCCTTTTGTGTTTTGTATTGATTTGTATCCGATTGATATCCGTGGCTGTCTGGATGTCCAGTCCACTTGTCCTACACTGAGCTAACACCTGCCCCCTGCGCGCTTCTCTAATGTGAAGATCTTACTTGATGGAGATGAAGTCCTTCAGCTGAGCGGAGACCTTCAGAAGCTTGCAGTAGTTTATGGTGTAGCTGACGTTAGTCAGGACGACTTTCTTCTTGTACGTTTTTCCTACTTCAAAGTCCTAAAACAGACCATTTAAAACACTTAAAAGTATTAAAATCTATTAGCAAAACTTGAAATATATGAATTCTTGTTGTAAGTCTTTTTAGTAGTTAACAAAACAACAACAACCCAGCAGTGAGCGGTACCTGGAAGAGGACGACCTCTGGTTTACTGATGAAGGAACGACCCTTCATCTCTCGTCCATGAACTTTTTTAGGAGCTGTGTTGAGCTTCTCATCGGTCACGTCAGGCTCCTCCTGCTTTACTTCTCTTTGTACTTGTCTAGATGTTGCATTGAGGAGTTTCTGTAGGCAGACGAGGAAGCAACAACTAGTCAGACTGGCACACAGCTGCCCCTTTACAGAGATACAAGCAAAGTAGAGGTAGGAAGTACAGCTGTGACTCAATAATCGACCCTGAACAATCCTAAACCTGCTCTCCGACAGGTTTTTAGGAAAAACCAACAGAACCCATAAAAACAGCCTTAACATAGCGACAGCCTTTACCAACAGGTTTTACATTTAGTGTCGGATTATCAAGTCATGAATGTACAGTTTAATAATGTTTACTATGAAACAAAACAGATTTTTTTAACAGGTTGTTAGTGTTAGTTGTTTTATTTTGCTGGGTTTAGTCTGACTGATAGTAATCTGATTCCTACCAGTTCATCAGCGCACAAACATCACAAATGTAGCTCACACTTCTTTCCCTATGCCAGTAGGTCTCTTATGGTTAATAAATGCAGCACAGCGCCAGTATATCAGTATAAATGTGTAACAATAAGCAACAAGAAGCTGCAGTTCACTACACAGTTCAGAGCACAGACATGTTTACTGTTCAGCAGTAAACTGGACTGTTTACCAAAGGATGTCAGAGTTAATACGGTTAACGCTGCCCAAACCAAAGCATGTGAGATCAGCCTACACATCATATACATCCTGAGATTATTAACGCAGAAACAAAGACAGAAACTACAAAAGAAGTTTTCACCTCCACGCAGCGCTGTGCGGTTCAGGAGGTGGTCTTATTCAGCGTTTTGTGTTTCTACGGCGTATTCTTTGTTCTGTATTGTGAAGCACTTTTGTAACTCTGCCACAAAGTGAAGTGCTGACATTTAATCATTGTTCTCCCCCTGATGAATCATCTCATTAGCTTTGTTGCAGCGCTGTGCTCGTCTACTGCGCCGGCCATTACCGCGCCGAGAAGGAGCCCGTTAGAAGGCACGAGTCTGGAGGAGAGATCGCTTCCGCTCGACTTGTCGCTCGTTCAGACCTCTCAGCTGTAGCGCTGCGCTCACTCTGAGGCCTCAAAGGCATCAGCGCGATGAGAAGTGATGCCTGTCGCCCCACATTTCAAGAGCACGGGGGTGCCGGACGAGACGGAGGGCCGGCTCACCTCCGTGACAGCGAGCGAGCGTGGAAACACTTCTTTGTGTTTGAACGAGGCGTTTGATCTTCACATTCAGGAAAAGTTCAAACTGTCGCCGTAGCTCAGCTCTGGTGTGATCAATACCACACAGCTGGGTTGGTTTTTCAGGTATTGTAGAACTGATTTACATTTCACTTCACTGTGAGTGTAGCCATCATTAGCTAGAAATGAGGAGAAATGGGAGGAAGTTCGAGTTACCTCGTATTTCTAAAACATCTCCAGTGTTGTCAGATGATATCAGACGCTATCTGCCCACAGACACTGAGGATACTGAACTTTAAAAATATGTTAGTGAACAGCCAGTTGGTTCGCTGCTATTAGGACTGCTAACAACAACTTTAATTAAACCTGATCGACTGTTGATTTAAACTTTTAATTAATTAGTTAATTAATCATTACATCACTAAAATGAATTAAAAAAACATAAATTCCAAGGTGAAGTCTTCAAAAGTCTTCCCAACAAACTGCCCCGGTCCTCAAATAACCGAATTTTAGAAAT